ATGTAGTAGTATCTAATGGTGTCCCATCACTTATTTGAGCCATTTTTTGCTCCGTTCTAAACAATTGTATTTTTATTAAATTAATATTTTAATATTTTGAGAAATGTATGTTATGTACTAATTGTTACTAATTTAAGTATGAAACACACCCATAAAAAATGTTTACATGTTTTTTAATTTATTTTATTACAGTTTCCTTTTGTAAAGCATAAGTGTCCCATCACTTTTGTGAGACACTGTACATGCGCTTTTTGCTATGGCAATTCACTAAGGTGTTTCAAATTATTGAAACAAGAAATCCAACAGTATTAATATAGCAATATTGCTTTTGCTGACTTGCAAAATGAACAAAATGAACTCCATGTTATTTGTTTAGAGAATGTATTTTGAATATGTGATGAGCATGTGCCTCATTCTCTCTTGTAAAAAAAGGGAACTGCAAAAGATATTTCACAGACAATATTGAATTTTTGACGACTTGACAGCACATTAATAATTCTCTCTGTCACTCTTGAGGACTGAAAAACACGTAGACAATACTTAAATTTATTTTCGCTTTTTCTTTTATTGTTGTTTGTTTGTTTGTTTGTTTTTTGTTGTTTCTGCAGTTTCAAATATTGGATCTGTTTTACAAAAAAACAGTGTTGAATAATTAAAATGCACCGCATATACTTCAAACGTCAAATAATGAATCAAAACATAGCAGAATGAAAACGGAATAACATTCCAGGAAGTTTTGCTCTCTCAAACATAAGAATCATTTGCATGACCTTGCAACCAGTATCGTTGTGTTAGCGTTAAAAATGTCTTCCTTGGTTTCAGGTGAAAAATTGAATTAACTAAATTTCAAATTGTGCTTTTCTATTTCCGTTCCAATGGTATATTTCTGTGTTTAAGGGGATTTATACACCTTAAAACCCATAAGATGTTCGAATAAGTGACTGTTGCAAGAATCGGGATACTTTATTTATTTTAAAAGCAATTACTACCAACTTTTTACAGCTGGCTACATAACATAGTCTTTGAAATAGTAATCAGAAAGTTTATGTTCCAAAAATATTTTTATAATTTAATCCGGTTTGTGCAACATTTTTCGTCGGTTTCCTACTGCGCGCACAGTTTAAAAATCTGTTTCATAATTTATTCCAATTTAGTATATAGCTTTTATCATTTGGAAACTACTGTGAACCTAAAATTCTAAAATTTCATGTTAAATTTTATTTTATTTCGAGTTGAGTTATAAAAGTAATTTAAAAAAAATTTTTAATGTTTTCGTCCATAAATTTTTCGATATTAAACTATTATCGATTGTGGCTGTCGAAAATAGTGCCCATATAAGATTCATCAAATTTCAAGTACGTCCATAGCCATTTTAAAGTATAATGCGCGAAGGTGAAACATGACGAAATATTTTGTCACAAGAGGATTCACTTACAAAAATATTTGTGGCAACACAAACTTTCTGGTTATCAATTTCCAAAGCAGACATATGTAGTCAGCTGTAAAAGGTTGGAATTAATTGCTTTTAAAATAAATAAAATATCCAATTCTGCAACAGTCACATATTCGAAGATCATGAGGGGTTTAAGGTGTACGAGTCATTAATGATTCAAAGGAACGAAAAAAAAATTTTAAAAGGTTCAGATTTTAACGAACGCCTCAAAGGATTTGTTATGTTTTGTGCGTTTTCGTGGAGCTAGCAGTCTAGCAATCTGCTATTGCACTCACTTCTGCTAACCTATTTTGTTTTGTCTTTTTAGCTTTGTTACCACGCACTACATTCTTGCCACTTACGCCATGTACAGTTAAACATAAATTTTAAAATCAGCGAACCAGTATATGCTTAGAATTCTTAACCGCTTCCCTTACAAATTTTTTTGAAAAAAATTGCAAAAAATCACGACTTTTTTTTTATTTTATTATTAAATACAACAAAACGAAACGAATCAAAATGTAGGTTTTAAGTTGAATTTTTAATTTTTAAAGGTACAGGCATTTATTTTTAATATTGTTTACTATCGCGTTATCTCGGGCAGAAGAAAAAAAGTTAAATATAATCTTTGTATGATAGTTTTGAAACAAGGGACAACACAGAGTGATACCTGACGTTTCTACACTGGAATGGTCTCTTTTCTACTGCTTACCACTGGAATCTCTTTCACGGGGCACAGAGTGCACTGTCTCGTTGGATTTATTTTTTTTTTTTTTTTCCCCTCTTCATATCATATCTGAAAATCCGCTTTCGCTATCTTCCATCATAGCCATTTTTTTATTTTTTCCCAACGATGGTCCTTCTTTACGTTACTATCCACAAGCCACGTATACTATACCTAGGGAAAAACGCGATCGGTCCTTCCAAAAAAACCGCGCAACCAACAAAATTTGCAACTGCTCAAAGCTGAATATTCCTTTCATTTCCTCCAGACGAGTAAAACGTGATAAAGAAATCGTACAACAAATTCTGCTTCGCCCGAGTTTTCTCCGGGATAATAATTAACTGCAATATACGAACCCGAGATAACTCGGGATAATCGGCAGCGGTTTTAATGTAGTGTTAAATGTTAGTATGATGCGTCTGCGGACTCGTGATTGATGACACACTTGACGAATTATGAAACAATATTTCCCGGAAGTGTTGATTTTTCCGATAAATCTTGGCTATATCTGACTTCGAATCTAAAATTTTCTGAAGAACACAAACCTTGCTAAAACTTTAAAGTTTATTTAACTGGAACTCACACTGATGAAAATTACATCATAAACGAAAACTTAACATTATGGGCGGAAAAACTTCAAAGTGTTTAAAGTAACAGCTATGCCGGCACGGTGAAGAACACTTTCTTTTAAAAGACAGAATCCATCTAGCCCTTTCGGCAATATCTCCATTCGCTGAATTCAGAATCCGCTCTACGTGTTTTGGACTTAAACGGCAGGCTGGAACTGGAATGGACTGGATCAGGACCGAACAAGACGGGGAAACAAGACGGGAACCGGACAAGACGGGAAACCGGACTCTCATCCCCTGGCTTCTCCCCGGGCAGGTCTATTCTGGCTCGAACTAAAAGGAACTGCGGTGCCACTAAGGAAAGCACCTCCTTTTATTGCCGGCGGTTGCCGTTACTACAGGCGACTATGCAAATATTTAACAGGAAGAGTTCCAAGAGAAAACGACCCTTAATACTTGATGAATTCGATGGAGTTGTGTTTTGGATAAGCAAATAAAGATGCGGAAATAAACGTTCAATAAGTTCTTACAAGATCCAAGTACAATTGAGGAAGAACTGACACAAGTGTTCTTTTCGAAGATAAAAATATACTCGTATGTTTTATGGCATTTTATAAATGAAACGGAAGGACTGAGGCAGCAACTTTTACATGAAGTTGATGATAAAAGTAACCTTTTTCCAAGAAAAATAGAACACTTCCAAATTACAAAAAAAATTAAATCGAATAAATAAAAATGATCTTAAAGAAAGACAGTCATTCGTTCGGAAAAGTTGTTCTAAACGCAATGAAAAGCAAGTGTTAACAAAGTGTGTGCGTGTGATTATGGCAAAGACTTGAGGACTATCTGCCTAAATGGAGGGATGCCTTCGTGGAGGACTTTCTAAGGGAAAGTGGTTCGTATACACGTTACACATTGGGAAAACCACAAACGTTAACAGAAGTCGGAGATTAAGCTGGAAAGAGACAGTTTTTGTAGCCAAGGTAGAACGTGCGGGAAAAAAAGAATATACAGTGTAGCAAAGAGAGTCATGTATGAAGCACAATATTCTAAAGTAAGCATTCTCAAGCAGAAGATAAACTAAAATTCCATTGTCTGAGATGGTCGTACAGAAGAAATACTTCAGTGAGAATTCTTAAACTAATGTTTAAAGCGGTCATCTCTGAAACAACTGACTGACAATAAGTGCAGAATTTGTTCCTTAGAAATCCCTTATCTAAGTTCTTGAAACAGTTTTACAGTTTTGTATCTAATATAGAGTGTACGGATCCTATGTAAAATACCCAAACATTGTGAAAATGCTTTTTGGAATGCTTGGGTTCTTGTTGGAATGCTTTTGTTTTTAGATAGAAATAGGAATTTTTTTCTGAACATGGAAACAATCGCCTTCTTATTCTATAGAGAATAAATTGTTATATACATTTGAAGTAGTTTGTGAAAGGAAAATTAAATTATAATTGCGGAAAAGACACTGATTATATACTCCTTAAATATACTCTTTTCACCAGCAGACATCTAAAACTACACTAGGGAAGTGAATATTATTTTAAGCAAAGTTTCAAAACTAAACTCTTTTATTCTGTCTTTTTATGTACGTTTTTTAGATATCTCATTTTAAGAATAAAGTAATAAAATTAATTAGTTATTGCATTTTAATCCTCTTACTTCATCTTTAAAAAATTTATTTTATTCTTAACTAAAGCCTCATATTGGTTTTAGATGTTCGAACAACGCGCAGCGTTTATTAGGAAAAGTTTAGAAATGAAAAACCTTTCGAAGTTTTAATGAATGTCCTGGATTTGTAGATTTGTGTTGTGGCGAGAAATAATTGAATATTTAAGAAAATTTCCGAAGGAAATTTTAATTTCAGGTTAAAGCGCTTCTTTTTGTGTCTCTTCTGAATTTTTGCTGGCCATTTCTTATGTCTGCAAATTGACGCCTCCATTTTTACTTCCTTCTATGAAGTAAAGAAGTAGTGTAATTGGGCAAAATGTTGGGTATCATATTTTTAAACGAAAATATCCATTTTAACTGCTCTCGAATAAAGTTGAAATAGCTTTTTGCGTTATAATCTGTGTGTACATACAGAATAAATATTTATATTATTCTATATTTTATTCCAACAGATCAAGACATATTCAGTCTTGTAACCTTTTTGAAACCTTTATGCTCTAATGTGAAAATTTAGTGTAAAGAAGAAAAACAATAACTGATATTTTTTTTTTATTTTAAGGCCGTTATTGCTAACTGAAAATTCTTAATCTTCCAGGTGCTCTTGAACAGTTAAGGACCTGAATGGGTTTGGATATTGTGTACTTATAAGTGAGGTGGCTTGTACAAGATTTGCTGGATACTCTGTGCTATGGATTTCGAAAGTGTTGAAAATTCATCTGTTAGCACGACAAGTTTTCCTTTCACTTCAATACAACGCGACAAGTCCGATGTAATGTCCGATTCTTCAAAGAATTTCTCAATGGAAGTTTTCAATTTCAACATCAGTCAAGCTGTTCTCATACTGGAAGAACATTTAAGCGATCACGTATTTGAAGGTAAGAAGTGATTTCATTTTCTCTATACTTTCCAGAAACGAAGCCTGTGCGTCAATTTGCCATTCAGCGTTAATTATATGCAAGGAAAATATTTATTACATCTGTACATAAAATTATCGAAAGAACTATTTTGCATTCGTTTAAGGTTCATTAATTATCACAAATGCTTGAATGTTCATAAATTATCGAAAATGCTTAAGGTTCATAAATTATCACAAATGCTTGAGGTCCATAAATTATCACAATTGTTTAAGTGTTCATAAATTATCATAAATGCTATCACAAATGCTTGAGGTTCATAAATGCTTGAGGTTCATAAATTATCACAAATACTTGAATGTTCATAAATTATCACAAATACTTGAATTTTCATAAATTATCACAAATACTTGAATGTTCATAAATTATCACAAATGCTTAATGTCCATAAATTATAGCAAACACTTTTTAATCATACTGGTATGGCCTCTGAAAAAGTAAACATAAAACGCCATTAAAGCTTATTTTTGTGCATCAAGCAGCCCACATTGTGAGTTAATAAGCTTTGAAAAATGTGTATGGTTCTGAGAATGTTATTTGACAGAACAATGTTTTAATTTATTCTTAGAGCTTTTTGTCTTTCTTCTGCGTTTCTTCCATTTAAGTAATATACATATAGATTAATTTGAAGAGGGAACAGAGAGCGAGAAGTGATTTGTTAAGAATTTAATTTAATTTAAGTATTTATTTATTACATTCTAATTTAAAATTATCGCTTGAAAGAATTATTTTACATACATACAAGGTTCATAAATTAGCTTTTGATTTTGATTGATTCTGATATTAATTTAATGATTTTGATGGATTCGTGGATTATATATTCTGTTGGTTTTAGACTATTTCTTTCTTAATAATTCATTCCGGTTCAAAAGCTCTTAAAATTGTAGTTTTGAAAACATCAAAAAGAGTTCTACGTGATTTTAAAGAAAACAGGTAGAAATGTTTCTGTAACAATTGTCCTTTCGATCAAAAAAACTTATGGATCATATGAAAGAAAGGAGCTTTGAGTTTAATACGCTTTGCAAGTAAGTCTATGAATTATCTAACAGAGAATCATATTTAAAAGAATTATAAGAGTTTGAGAAAATATTTTTCCCTCCTTTTCTTAACTAATTTTATCATTCGAAAAATCAAGAGAGAAAAACTATACAATAATTTAACTCCCAAGGGACGCGGTTACAGTAAAAGCATAAATTAAAAATAGTCATGGATAAACAACTGGTAACCATTACAATCTTATGTTCTTAAAATAAACCCATATTCCACTAAGAATACATAGTAATATTAACATTTACCATTACAATATCTAACGGATATTGAGCAGATATCTGATGGTCCACTTCAATTATCTATCAAAGCCTCAAGGGCATCTCACATGAATGAGTCTTCACCCAGTTCTGAATAAAGACATAAAACAGGGAACTAGGGTTTCGAACAGGGAAGGAGAAGGGAACCAAGAAAGGATGATTCGGATTTTGGAAGATCGAACATATGAGCAGCAGATGAGCTGGAACGTGCATACTACAATGAGCTACAATGAGTTGGAACGGGCATAATAGAGGTCAGAAGAAATACACGTTTGGAAAGTTTCTTAAATGTGAGAACACCTGCCACGATCGGATAGCTTAACGAAAAATATGCACAAAATGCATTCAAATAATAAATACAAGGGAAAACGAAATACATGAAATTCTAATACTGAAAAAACATTAGGTTTTTTTTTTTTTTTAAAAAAAGCAGGAAAGATGAAAAATGAGCAAAGCTTTCGCCTGGAATCGAACCACGCACCTCTGGAATACGCGCCCAGCGTGCAAACCACCACACTACGAAAGCATGCTAAGAAGGCGTTAAAAATACCTCATATACTCCCCCTTTTGAAGGGAGACTGGAATTTTTAGATCCCCCAATTGCCAAACCCTGGGTGTGGAGAATCATCATACACCACCCTTTTAGTTCGGGTGCCATATTTTTTTTTGGAAGCAGAAGACATGAAAATGAACAACGTCTTCGCCGTGAATCGAACCATGGACCTCTGGAATACGCGCCCAGCGTGCAAACCACCACACCACGAAGGCATGTTAAGACGGCGAGAGAAATACTTTTATACTCCTCCTTTTAAAGGGCGACTGGGGATTTTAGAGGGACAGAATCGTTAAATCTTGGTTGTTGGAGAATCAATTATCCACCACCCTTTTAGTTCGGGCGCCACTGTAGAGACATTATGATTTTTTTGGAAGCATGAAAGACATGAAAAATGAGCAACGCTTTCCCCCCGCCGGGAATCGAAACCACAGACCTCTGGAATACGCGCCCAGCGTGCTGAAACTACTACACTACGAAGGCACGCTTAAGAAGGCGGGAGAAATACCTTATATACTCACTCTCTTTTAAAATGGTGACTAGGCTTTTTAGGGGACTCCAATCACGGCAAATCCTGAGGTGTGGAGAATCATCATCCAACACCCATTTAGTTCAGGCACCATTGTAGAGACATTAGGCTTTTTTTTTTTTTTTTTTTTTTTTTTTTTTTTTTTTTTTTTAAAGCAGGAGGTCATGGGAAAAAGGAGCAACGCCTTCGCCACGAATCGAATCACGGAGTTCTGGAATACGCGCCCAGCGTGCAGACCACCACACTACGAAGGCATGCTAAGAAGGTGAGAGAAATACCTTATAATACAAAAATGCATAGAAAAATAATCAAGGGAATGCAATTTACGAACAAACCTCTCAGAGGGAAAACCTGAAAACCTACGTGTAATAGAGAAATGCTGGGAATGGAATGGAAATGGAAATGCTGCGAGAATATTTTATAATTTTCCGCGCTTGAATGATAGAGAGGAAAATACGCAAGGAAAGTTCTTTCTAAATATTATTGCTTGCTAGCGATATCAAAACAAATCTTCAAAGAACCGGAATTTCAGAGCTTAGTAATATATATCTTCAAATTTGTAAGCAAAGGTATAGATGGAGATTTTAAAATTTGTAAATTTGTTAAAGAACGAAACAAGATAAATATTTCGAGCGGGGGAAAAAGTGGGTAAATGCTTTAAAAATATAAATTTCGCTAAGACGCAAGTAAACAAAAGTGGGTAAAAGATAAGTTGAGTTTTCACATTTTGTAACTGTATAACCTATACATAAAACTATTTATTATAATCCTTGTGTATAAAAAAAAAAGAATATTTCGCCGTATTTGTTTGAAAAGAAATTTATTTATGCGTAAGAGTTCCATTGAACCAGAAAGACGAAATATATATTTAACATTTAAAAAAAAATAACATTTCTCTAGGAAATGCTTTTAAAAAATATTTTGTTTTCCACAACTATTTTATTTTTGGATTTACCTTTTTTGATGTAGAAGCATTCTATGAATCAACTCAGATGACATAATTCTTGAGGAAAGAAAAAAATAGAGTGAATCATTCAATCCTTATTTTTCAGTTTTTGTCATGTTGTTTACTTTTTCCTTACTGCGGAATTTGTTGAACTTTTATACCTATGTTTATGTTATTAAAAAATAAGATTAAAAATTAATTTTCTCCTCTGATATTCATTTCTAAGGAAATCTAACGCTGGTATTTTTCCCCTTGTCATATTCTTCTCAATTCATTCTGTTAAAGAATAATTTCAAAGATTTAATATCTCCTCTTCATGATCCTGTTCATAATCCGAAGGTCCATCATTTTTAAGAGCATCTGCTATGCTGTTCGTCGTCATCTTGGTAGAAATAATTGTTTTTCCTCCTTTGTTTCCACTCCATTTATTTGGAATTGAGTTTTTTAGTGTACTGTTAATTTTTATTTATTTTTTGTTTGTTCGTTCGCCATTATGGTTTCTTTACTTGCTTTGCATAAAATTTAAATTGGTTTCAACTAGTCTGGTGCAATTGTTTGCTTACGCATTTGCTTTATGTGTAGAAGCAATTAGTAGAAACTTAACGGATTTCAATTTGATTTCCTTCCTTTTTTATATTTCTAATTATATGTTTTCTGTAATTTCAATACTGGCTATTAAAAATCTTGAAATCTTAGGATTGTGTGCAAAAAGAAAAATTTAAATAAGCTTGTCTGAGGAATTATAATTACGTGGGCTTATGAAACAAAGGGTTTCAACACAAGTTCAACTCTAAAAATGGCGATTATTTTCAAAATTGCAATTTTCAATATTTGTAATAAAATTATTGTTTATTCTAAAATTTCATATTTATGTTTTGCATTCCATATTCCCCTGCACTTTTTATGGCTTTAATAGTTTTTCTGTAAAAATGATTTTTCTTCTCTAAAAAAGGCTAAGCTTTTAAAGCTGTCAGGAACATGTAAGGTAAAAAATGTAATAATTTATTGTATGGTATGTATACGCCATCTGTCAACTTATGAATCATTACATATATGAAAATTGTTCAGTTGTCAACTCAAAGAAAATTCATTAAAACTGTTTCAAATTGCTTTGGTTTTAAATTTGGTCTATAAATTAAGCAGTTCGCCAAGTAAATTATTCTTGGCGAGAACTGCAAAAATATGGCAAGATAAATTTTTGAATTTCTCCGTAAATTTCTCACCAAATTTTACAACATTTAGTATATTATATATGTATTTAATATTCAAAGCATGAAAGTAAATGGACTGATAAATACAAATTATAAAAACTATTATTATTTTAATTCTATTATTATTTTAAATTTCGTTCTTTAACCAAAAATTCAGGTTGCCTTAATACTTTACAAAGACTTTTGTCACGTAGAGCGTCATTTAACGGTTTTTAGTGTCGATAGACGTATTTTTTACATTTTTCATTTATTTTACGTGAAATTTTTATATTTTCCTTTTCGGCATAATTTATGCTTTCTTAATTTTTATAATTTGCAAAATCAGTTTGTCAGTCCATTTACTTTCATGCTTCAAATATTAAATATATATATATATATGTAATATACTAAATTTTGTAAAATTTGGTGAGAAATT